AATTCCTGTCACAGTTGTACAAAATTGTTCTTCAGGACTCAATTTTCTCTAAACTATTTATTAAGTACTTGACTGCTTCTTGTTTTCCTGCCTGCTGGAAAAACTCTGGTGAACATACTGACCCCTCCAAACATTTTCCAATCAGTCTTCTTTCTGTTATTAGCAAGGTCTTTGAGTCTTTGATAAATATATTTCTCACATTCCAACTTTAGTCAAATAACTTGCTGTCAGACAACCAATACGTGTTTCAATCCTCTTGCTCTACGGCTGACTTGCTAGCTGCTGTGACTGAAAGATTTTATCATGGATTAGATAGAGGCTTATAGGCTATTGCTCTAGACATATCTGAGGCTTTTGACAAAGTTTGATATGTTGGTCTTCTCCATAAGCTTGTTTCATATGGTGTATCTGGGAAATTTTGGATATTATCAAATCGTTTTTTTTCTAACCGCCTTAATAAAGTCATCCTCGAAGGTCAACACTTTTTTATTTCCAGTAACTTCTGGGTTACCTCAAGGGGTTATCCTTGGTCCTGTTTTATTATTTATCTACATTAATGATCTTCCTGACAACCTCACATCTAAAGTAGCTCTTTTTTCTGATAACTCAATGCTAATGTCTTGACAAAAATTCTTCTCTTTTTTGCTTAGAACAGACAGCCCATCTTATATCTGATCTCACTTCTGTAACTGATTGGGGCTTACAGTGGCTTGTAAATTTAAATTCCAACAAAACTCAGTTATTTACCTCAAATAACTATTGCAGTACTGTTGATACTCCTATTTTAATGAATGGCAACCCTCTCACTGATTCCTCTTACTTTACTTCATATATACAATGGATTGCATATGCTAAGCTTGCTTCTCTTTATCATGCTCACCATTTTCTCTTTCCTGATTTCATTCTCTACCTCTACAGATTTCTTATTTGTCCATTTATCAAAGTCTCATTCTTTTACTGTATCTGTCTCCTTATGCTCCAAAAACATTTATTTGTCTAGCTTATTTCCCAGCACTTCAACCCTTAGGAACTCTGTCCCATCTTCATGTTTTCCTGACTTATACAACCTTCAAGTTTTCAAGTCTTCTGTCAACCGTTTCCTTACTCTATAACTCTACTCTTTTTTTTCTAGCAACTCCCAACTTGATAGTGGTTGCTTGCAGCATTGTTGGGAGTAGAAAAGAATCAAAAAAATATAGATAACAATGCCTAAATTGGTTACTTTTAAAGCTTTTGCCTATAAACAAAGTCAAAATAAAAATTTATTCAAAAAATTATTATATTAATTTTATTTATTTAATTGTTATAATAATGCAGGATAAAAATATTAAAAATATATATATATATATATATATATATATATATATATATATATATATATATATATACACACACATATAATTGTTACTTTATTTAAAATCGTTTTGCTAATTAGTCAAGAAGTTTCAATGTAATGTAAGCATTAGTTAAGAAGTTTCAATTTTTTTTTTTTTTTTTTTTTTTTTTATTTTTATTCACTCCCAACAAGGCTGCAAGCAACCACTATTAAGTTGGGAGTTACTAGGAAAAAAAAAGAACAGAATTATAGAGCAAGGAAACGGTTGACAGAAGACTTAAAAAGTTGAAGGTTGTATGAGTCAGGAAAACATGAAGATGGGAGAGAGTTCCAAAGAATTAAAGTGCGGGGAGAAAAACTAGATGAATAAAAGTTTTTAGAGCATGCAGGGACAGATACAGAAAACGAATGAGACTTAGCTGAATGACGAGTAAAACGAGAATGAATTTTAGTTGATGGAACTAGAGGTGATAACTCCTTTGAGCAGTGACCATGATAGTATCTGTAGAAAAGAGAAAGAGATGCAACTTTACGACGATGGGAAAGAGGTTCAAGCTTAGCAGATAGTCCAGGTCCAACAACATTTACAATGCGTTTTTGGACCTTGTCAAGAAGAGAGAGTGAATCGTTAGAAGAACCAGCCCAAATATGACAACAGTATTCCATACAGGGACGAATAAGAGATTTGTAGAGGTAGAGAATGGAATCAGAAGTTAGGAAATGGCAAGCACGATAAAGAGAAGCAACCTTAGCAGAAGCTAATTTAGCAATCGATTGTATATATGGTTTCCATGAAAGGTCAGTAGTAAGCGATAATCCAAGAAGACGTAAAGAGGACGACTCAGTAAGAGGATTGCCATTCATTAATATAGGAATGTTGACCATATTACGGTAGTTGTTTGCAGTAAGCAATTGGGTTTTTTTAGAGTTGAAACTCACAAGCCACTGTGAACCCCAATCTACCACCGAAGTGAGATCAGATTCAAAATCAGCTGCTTGTTCTAGGCGATCGAAAAGAGGAGACTTTTTGTCAAGACAGGAGTATAAAGTTGAGTCATCAGCAAAAAGAGCTACTTTAGATGAAAGGTTGTCAGGAAGATCGTTTATGTAGATAAGAAACAAAACAGGGCCCAGGATGGAACCTTGGGGAACCCCAGAAGTTACTGGAAATAAAGAAGACAGGAATGTTGTCTGGACTACAAGTGACAGGAATGTTGTCTGGACTACAAGCTGTAGACGAGTTTAATTGAGATATGACTTTAGCAACAGAAGCCGGAGTGATTTGAATGTCTAACAATGAGTCAACCTGGTTGACTGGAATGGAAGGAAGAGAATGTCCATAAGATTCAAGAGTGGAATTAGAAGAAAAGTTCTTTGCAAACAGTTCTGCCTTATCCCTGGGAGAGGTAACAAGATCAGTCCCATGAATGAGAGATGGAATGTTAGATCTACCCTTGTTAACAATGCTGTTGAAGATTTTCCAAAAGTCTTTAGAGCCTAACTTCTGCGATAAGATGCGAGATTTAGTGAACTGAGAATAATGGAGTTTAGCATCAGAAAGCACCTTTTTACATCGATTTCTTGCAATAATAATAATAATAATAATAATTTAATTCAATAATAATATTCAATAATAATAATAATAATGTAATTTATTTCTCTCTCTCTCTCTCTCTCTCTCTCTCTATATATATATATATATATATATATATATATAATATATATATATATATATATATATATATATATATATATATATATATATATATATATATATATATATATATATATATATATATATATATATATATATATATATATATATATATATATATATATATATATATATATATATATATATATATATATATATATATATATATATATATATATATATATGAAATGTATTAAATGTTTTTTTTAAATATCAGTGGTCAAATCTTCAAAACAAAATGTTATTTACCTTGTCATAAAATGGCATGCGATTACACGCCTTCCTGTAAAACACTGATTAGTATTTTAGAGTAATGCATTGCAATTAAATTTAATTTCAAAACCATATTAACCTTATAGCCAGTACCTAAGTTTTGCACAGCATTTTCACATGACATAGCACTTAGTTAGCTGGTTTTGTAGGATTTGAAATAACAATAGCCGACTATAATAGTTATTAGGTATTCAGGTACCTGCCTATTGCACCGTCACTTAAGTAGTGGATACCCCTTACCCTAAACATCGACAAAGAAGCAGAATAGTCATCATTCATAAGGTTGTGTTGGAGTCTAGTATCGTGCCTTAGCATGTTATCATTTATTTAGTGTTTAGTCTGTTGTCTTTTGGCAAAAAGTTGTTCCTCTGATGTAGTCTCTATGGAATCTTTTTGTGAAGCAAGGATAGTAATGTAGTGGTATAGTGCCTGCTTTATCACCAAAAACTACAGAATTTAATCTTCACCCTGTAACTGGTAGTATTGCACTCAATTCATTTTTCTATATCAGAACTTTGTTAGTCAATTTTATTCAAAGTTGTTGACCATTTTAATATAGTGTAGAAATTGCGTTCAGTTTTCTAATGAGCTGCTATATACTATATAAAAGAATGGTTTTTAATTTTTAAATATCGACAGTATTAACTTATCAATAATGGCTTGAAATCTTAAGGTTTTATTAATACAAACATGTTGCCATAGGTTTATCATCTAGTCCTTTTATTTTTAATAAGTTGTGTGTTCTTACATTTTTGAAAGCACAGAAGCAACTTGAGAAAAAAGTTTTAAAGCAAAATTATAACAATAATGTTATTCAAAATTTTTAGATAAAAATATTTTAAAGTCTTATCTTTTATAGATTTTTTTTTTTTTTTATTTATTTTTTATTTAGATTTTTTTTTTTGTTATTTAGAACAATTTTTTTTTCTTTTTTTTTAGCTTTCATTCGAAAGGTAAGTCAAAGTTTGAAATAAGTTTTCTATGTTTAGGTAAAGTATCATTATTTTAAAAATTATATCTTAATTATTTTTTTTAATTATATATATCATAAATTTTATTATTAATAAAATTTGTTTAAAAAACTCATAAATCTAATAACTAGTAATAATTTCTAATAATTTAGGTGTACGCAATTCTTTTTTGTCAATTACTTGTTTCTGTTGGAATTGTTTGCCTTTTTGTGCTTGTGTAAGATTTTTGATTTATTTGTTTAATTAGTTTTCAAATTCAAATTAATTAATTTTCAAATTTTTTATGAAAATATTTAATAGAATTTTTTTAATAAAATACCTGTGAGTTTTTAATCACCCTGGTCAATAGTGCTGGCTTGATAGATTTTGTGAGGATTTATTCAGGCTTTGAAGCCTTTAAGTTCTTTTGAGCTATTAGCATTTTTATTTTATTTTTGCATATTTATATTTGCATGTCAGTAACAGGGTTGTTCAAATTTCAGTAGTTTGAAATATAGCAGTTTTTAGGTTTTTTTATTTTGCTTTTATATGATCATTTTTTTTTTCTGGTCTGTACATTTTTCCATTTAAGTCTGCTAAAACTTTACGGCTCAGTTGTCATACTATTTTTTTTTTTTTTTAAATAGCTCTTTACAAAAAATTGTTTTTATGTAACATGTCTCCAATAACATACAGTTTTCTTTTAAAAATATTTCTAGTTTTATCACTGACTACTGCTTGGGCCAGTATTAAACTGGGTATTGGTAGTAGTTCTATTATAAGAAACACCCCAGGTAATTTCAATTCTATTTATATTATTTTTATTTGTAGAACTAAGTAGCTTCACCATTAAAAATTTTCCTTTGTCTTAATTAAGTTTTTTTTTTTAAACTAATTCACTACAAACAAGAGTTCTAACAATCATAGTTTGAGTTGGGAGTAAATAAAGAGTAAAGTTAAAGAGCAGCCATTTGGCAGAAAACTGTAAGTTTTATGATTCAGTAAAACATGAAGGTGGATAGAATTTTAAAACATCAATTTATGAGGAATAACACTATATAAATGTTTTTACAGCATAAAGAAACAGATACAGTAAAAGTATGAAACTTTGTGTGAATGACAAGTCATGCAATATTGAGTTTTGGTTGATGGAAGAAGTGATGTTAGCTTGTGTGAGTAGAATGATAGTATTTGTAGTCTTGAATAATAAGTGACAACATTTTGTCTAGACAAAATATTGTCATTTATTGTCAGTATATAGCTTATTTAGACAGTATATAGCTGTTTTGTCAGCAAATAATTGAGTTGTCAGCAAATAAAGTCACTTTAGATGTAAAATTATTAACAAGGTCATTAATATATATAAGAAACAAGGACCAAGGACACAGGACCAAGACCCAATCAAAAAAAAAAAAAAAAAAATATTATTATTATTTTTATTATTATTATTAATATTATTATGATCATTTATGTTATTCACATAAGAAATGTTTTATTAAAATTAAGACAAATTAAATTTCTTTTTCCAATAAGTTTTTGTAGCGAGTTAACGATTATCTGTTGAAAGATCTGATAACACTGTAACACTGTTCACTAAATCACTTTTTATTTGAGGGTTTTTTTATTATTAGTTAAGATTTTGAAATAATAAAGCTATTGTTTATATAAAAAAATTTTAATCACCTAAATTTTAGGCATCCAATAAATAGTTATGTGAAGAAAAATGTTGCAATGTTTTGGATGGCATGGTGAGTTCAGTTTTTAACAACTTAAAAATGATAAAAATATTTGTTTTATAGTTTATATGTTATATATTTGTTTTATAATTTTTGTAGGTTTAATTCTGATTTTAAAAAATGAAAAAAAGTATCGATAACAAAAAATAGCAGTAAAAATAAACGGTATTCAAAAAAATCCTTTATCATTGTAATTACCAATTATTTGATAAACTATTTTAAATTTTTAAATAATTTTTCTTTAAATACCAATATTCAATAAGCAATTCTCGGAATTAGGGTTGGCATTCGACAATGCTGACCTAGAAGTGTTTGAGGTTGGCAAAAAAATGCCAACCTTATTTCTATGTTTTATGGTCAACCTTGATTTTACATTTTTTCTGCCAACCTAATGCCGATCTCACACAGATTAAGGTCGGCAATTTATCGCCTAACTTATTTTTCCTAATTCCAATAGCTGAATAAGTTTTTTTTTTTTTTTTTTTTGATGATTTTTTTTAGCATTAGTATTAGCAATCACAACTATAATTTTTATTTATTTTATTATTTATTTTATTCAAACTTTATATAGTTAAATCATGCCACCTCTGTGGTTTTATAACAAACAAATTAATTTTAAGATAAGCTGTTCTTCATAGCATAATTTAGTTGGATGGCATTAAACACTTACTGGAATAGCAATATATGGAATAGTAATATATAAAATTGCCCCTGTAAATTGTTAATTGGCACAGCTCTTTTTTTTTTCTCCTCTGATGGTTTGTTATCTCTTTATGAGAATTTGGGTTGTAAAAATTAAAAAAGAGCTTTTATATTGATTAAACTGAACAGAATTATTCAGTTTTATATTGATTAAACTGAAAAGTTTTATTTAATTAACAGTGGTTGTATTTTTATTTTTTTTTTACATATTTAATTTTTTAATTTAAGTTTTATTTAATTTTTACAACTAATAGTTATTTTTTTTTAATAAAAACTAAAGATTTAATATACATTAAATATGGTAAATAAAATATATGCATTCTATGTAAACCAAAATATGTATTTAATATAAACCAAAATTTAAAAATAGAATATTTAAAAAAACTCTTGTTTATGTGTTTATTTGTGTATGTTGTTTTTTGTGTTTATATGTGTATATATGTGTACATGTGTTTATTTTTAAACAAAACTTTTTTAAATTTAAATTTTATAGGATAGCAACGATTGTCTTGATGATTGCTATTGCTTGTTGCGAGAATGTGAGGTATTTGCTTTTAAATGCTAAGCTTTGATTATAAGATAAATATGTAAAGAAAAACTTTAATATAAATTTGTTTTTATTTTAGGAGAACTTTCCCAATGAACTTCATAATGTTATCACTATTTGTAAGTTAAATTTTCATTTTTTTTTCAGTCTTTTTTATATATTTCAAGTATATATTTATTTAATAAAAATGAAGGATAGCTACTACTGTCAGTTTTACAGTGAATAAAGTATATTAATTATATATTTTGAAATAATTTATCTGAGTTTTATAATTTAAAATATTAATTTACAAAAATAAACTAAATGGTGTTACAAAAATAAAAATTTTTACTTCAGCATTTTATTTTTATTAAAACTAGATAATTTAATAAAAAACACTGAACATGCTTGTGTTACATTCTATTTAGTCCAGCTGCTTAACATTCAAGTTGTATTTGTAAATCATTATATATGCTATGCAGTTATCATCAAAGCATATATGTCGGACACAAGGTTGTTATTCATTTTTCTTGTTAAAAAAAAGTTAAACTTCAACAAGGCTGCAAGCAAACACTAATTATGTTGGGAATTAATTGGGAACAGAAAATTGTTTGAAAAATTAAACCAATCATGACAACAGAATTCTGTACAAGGACAAATATGATATGTATAGAGGTAGAGAATAAAATCAGTTGTAAGAAAATGGTTAACACAAATTAGATCATATGTACAACAGAATCTTTTTTGTTGTAGGGGGGATTGGGGCACCATGATACACTTTTGATTTTTGCTTTATATAAATATTTTTAATTGGTCTTTTTTTTTTAGGCAATTGGTTTTAATTGTACAATAAGTTTACCTAAAAGTTCATCACACCTAACAATGTTGCATAATAAAAAAATGATAATTAAAATAATCACGTTTACAGCATAAACATACTAAGGTCAATGTTACTATATATAGGAGTAACATTGACAGTTGAACCTTATCAACAAAATTAATTATCTATTAATATTATTAGATAACTAATTAATTATTCATCAGTTTATGGCAGCAATATCATTGTTAAACGTGTAGAAATATTGCATTCCAAATTTAGTTTGTCAAAACTATAAAAAATTAATATTTTCTAAAGAGGTGTCAATGATACCCCACTTTACCTTACCTCCCATAATCCTAACCCTTTCAAAAGGGTTTCACAAGGTTTTCACATTTCAAAAATCCAGATGATACATTGTTTTAAATTTCATTCTTAAGTATCAATAAAAATGGATTGGTATTGAAATTTGATCTCCTAGTATTATATTTACATTAATTCTTTAACAAGTGACTATAAATATTATAAGGAATGATTTAAAAATTGTTTATGACACAATCAAGGACTGCAATTTTAAAGCTCTCTATAAGCTCTCTCTCTTTTTTAAGTTACCCGATACTTGCTAATAGAAAACAATTGCCTAATTTTTAGTTTTCTCAACCGTTTTGTTTAATGAAGTATCTTATGAATTGTAGTTTACAAAATAATGTTACTTATCGATAGACACATTAAATAACATACCTTAAAAATTAGCAACTTTATAAACTAATAAAATACTTTGTCATCAAAAAAATACAAAGTTCGAACCCTCACAGGCCTAATCATTTCAAATGATTTTTTTTTTTTCAAAATTTGCTCTAATAGTACCTGTTTCACCATATAAAAGTGGTTGTCACATCTCTTAAGATACCTCCACTATTATCATGTTTCATGGTGCCCCATGTAGCTTGGTGCCACACTCTCCCCTAACTGTTAACAATTCAGTAGTAGAACAGATAGAATCAATATCTTTATAGGTCAGAGGCAGATCCAGCATTTTTTGGTCTTTGAGATGGCAAACTTCTAGACATGGAGAAAACTCCAAACATTTATGTGTTTATACATATGTCTGATATGGATGCTTTGCAAAAAATTACCCCTCAATTTGAGGGGGTTACAAGTTTTATATGGTTATAATTTTTCAACGCTTCGAGATTATACTATAAAACTTAAAAAGTTTTAAAAAGTCTTTTTGAGAATAGTAAAAAGAAATATTTTATCAACTTGTTTCTCTTATGTTTAGGGCTTTTTTATCACAATTTTTTGCAAAACATTCTTATTTGACATTAGTGTAAACATATAAATGTTTAGAGTTTGCTCCATGCCTAAAAGTTAGCTATCTCAAAGATCATAAATTACTGGATCCGCCCCTGGTAAAGATTGTCAGAGAGTAAGCTGTTTTTTAATTTGTTTTTTAAAATGTTCTTAAAAAGTAATTCTGTTTTATAAGTTTCTTAATTAAAGAATATAATGCTTTTCTTATAAAAATAAAAATTAGACAACAGTTTGAGGGGTCAAAGCAATCTTCAGGGCTTTTTAAGAATTGAAACTGTTTTCCAGCAGGCAGGATAGCTGTGTGTAGTTTAGTAATTGAATTTGAAGTAATTGAATTTTTGAATTTTAGTAATTGAAGTTAAATAAATTAGAGGGAAATGAAGAGAGTTCTGGAAAACACATTTTCAAAACTGGGAATGTTCTTCGAACAACAAGCTGTAGAAGAATATGAGAAATAACTTAAGCAACAGAAGCAGGATTAGTAAGGTGACAGGAAGAGTAAGCACACTCTTCCTGTCACCTCAGTGGCACAATTCAGGCCACTGTTAAACATCCAAGTCAATTAGTTAAACATCCAAGTCAAACTGTTAAACATCCAAGTCAAACAAATTTTTTCTAATTTGTTTGCATTGATTAAATTAATAATATAAACAATTACTTTTGGCTAAAAATAATAAGCAATTACTTATGGGTAAAACCATCTATTTTTCAGTTAATAGTAAAAAAATCAATTTTTCAATTATTAGTAAAGGAGAGCAAAAGAAGACTGGCGAAAGTATAGATTGGCAACTGGCGTAATTAAACTCTAATACCATAATGGGAGATTTCTGCAAATATTGCCACAAGATCATTTAATTCTATTTTAGCATTTTACACGGATATTGCAATATTAGAATTTTTGTTAGTTTTTCGAAAAACTATTGTAAAGGAAATTCTATAAGTACATTTTTAGGATAATTAATACAATACAAACTTAGCTTTTTTTCTTGCTCTTTACATATAGTATTTTTCTTGCTCTTTACATATAGTATTTTTCAATATTAATATATGTATACCAATAGAGTCGCTGAAGATTTAAAGGTCTGAAATTAACCGAAAACTTAAAGTAAGGGAAAAGCTAAAAAAATAACAAAAGTAACTTGGCATTAAAATAAAAACTTACAAAAAATATTGACAGGTTACATTAATAAAACCAATTTTAATATTATAAAATTATGTTTTTTATAATTATTTTTTTAAATTTAATTATTATATATTATATCTATTATGACTTATGGGTACATTTTTTTTAACAAAAAATGATGCTTATGGGGACAGTTATTTGTTATATTTAAAGTTGTGATAATTATAATGATAATTTAATACTTTCTCAGCTAAAATGTACCAGTAGCATAAAACCAAAATGCAATTGACAATTGTTGTACTGGTGAAATGTATTTATATTGAATATATACATATAATGATTCCTTTGTTATTCCCTCATAAAATTAGCAAACATATTTTCTAAATTATTATGAACATAGGCAAATCTGTATAACTTTTCACAACATATTTACAAAATGACAATTGCAGTTGGTTTTTTTATTTTTAAGTTTGCTTTTAAGTCTGTTTGGTACAAAACTTAAAATAACAACTTGAAATCTTGTTTTTAAGATACAAATTCATTTCAAGTTTGTTTTTTGCATTACACTTTAGTCAGACGTCAGACTTGAAGTATAACTTCAAAATTTAATATTTGCTTCTTGCATTCAAAAATGATTTTTTCTTTCTTAAGTTGTTTTTCAAGTCTAACTCTAAAACCAGCTGTTTTTTTTTTAAAAAAAAACAGGTTTTTAAGTATAGCTTGAGTTTAAGTTTGCTCTTTGCATACAATTAAGTCAAATTTCAGATTTGAAGTATGATTCTAAATTTCAAGTTTCAAAATTAGATGTAGAATTTTTTTTTTAAATGTTTTTATTTTTTACGTTTAATATTTTTTCTTTTTATTTTACATAAATTTTATATAAATATTAGTAAAATTTGAATAAAAAAAAGAAGCTTTTGATCGTAATTTAATTAGCCCTATATTATAAAAAAGGGCTTAAATTAAAAAAAGCAGTATACCTGCATAGTTTAGGAAGCTGTTAATTATGACTTTTTGAATTACGATCAAGAAAGGATCCTTAACAATGATAGCAAGTAACTATATAATATTCTTAAGTATATATTGTGTTCCCCATTTCTAAATCATTTGGGTATCAGTTAAGGATAACTAGTTGATTTAAATAATTTAAATTATTGGAAACATTTTTTGATCTTTTTGTAAATTTTTCCTTGAAACTTTGTTATTAAAAATAATTTTAAAAATTGTTTGATGATTATTAATTTTTTTTCTTCTTAAAAATGAAGACATTGTGTGAAAGTTATCTCATCGGAGTTGTTTCAGCGTATGTAATTTTTTTTTTTTCTTTTTTTTTTTCTTTTTTTTTACTTTTCAAATACTAAGATCATTATATACATTTATGTATGTGTGTATGTATTTATGTATTACATTTACGTATGTATGTATGTATGTATGTATGTATGTATGTATGTATGTATGTATGTATGTATGTATGTATGTATGTATGTATGTATTTATGTATGTATGTATGTATGTATGTATGTATGTATGTATGTATGTATGTATGTATGTATATATGTATGTATGTATGTATGTATGTATGTATGTATGTATGTATGTATATAAAAACCTTTAGTCTTTTAGTCTATGTTGCATTTTTTTAGGCATTACAATGTCAATGAAGTGTTGTTAGCAATGGGTATTGTTGCAGTAAGTTGTAAAAACTTCAAAACATGTATTAGTCATAAAATATTTTTACAATCTTGCTGTAAACACTCTTAAATATTTATAATAGGTTGTCTCCCTGGCGATTACTATTTTTGCTTTTCAAACAAAGGTAAGATATAATAAATTTATGGATTTCTTGCTAAATTTAATTTTTAAAGTTTTCTACAAGCAAATTTGGTAGAAAATGAAAAAAAAAAATTTTTAAAGAAAATGTTTAATATAATATTTCAAGTACTGTAGTTTTTTTAGAAAAGCAAAATTATTAAATTTTTTAATTTTGTTAATTTTTTTAATAATGGGTGGATTTTTTATTTATTTATAATATGAATTCACAATGATAGGTAGACTTTTTTTTTTCTATAGTATGACTTCACAATGATGGGTGGATTTTTACTTGTTCTTGTCATTGTTTTGTTATGTTTTGGAATATTCACAATATTTTTTCACAGCAAGGTAATTGTTATTTCGATATATATATATATATATATATATATATATATATATATATATATATATATATATATATATATATATATATATATATATATATATATATATATATAAGTTTTTATATGCTAACACTAAAAATGAAATAATGTTCCTAAAAAACATAAAAATATCACCCTTTTCATAGTTTTAATTAAAATAAGCAAATTTAAAGTAAATACCCAAATTTCTTGAATACAAACTTTATGAATGAAAATTCGCAAAAAATGAAGAGCAAACGTTTAATGTAGAATAAAACTGATTTAAAAAAATGGATAAGAATTTAAAATGACATAATGATAAAGATAGCTTTATTGAGTTGTTTGATATCATATCTGTAAATGGGTTGTGGTTTGGAATGAAGATAAATAGTATTATAAGGTTCAAAGTTTGTTTTTGTACAACATATTTAAAAATGAGAAAAGCAAAGTTAGCTTAATTAAGAAAAACAATTAAGAAATAGAGCCAGAGAAACAGGTTCTGAGAAGAAAGCTCATATAGTAATAACTACAGTGAGGATGTTGCACTTTCCACTAACAGTTCAGAAATGCCAAAAAAAATCATAAAACAAACATAATAAAATAAACAATCATATAATAAAACAAAAGCTGCTATTGACATTGTTGGAAGAAAATGTCAAAAAAAGCAAGCAAAGTATGTCAAACAAAATTTAAAAACCTACAACAACAGCTGTTTATAATGCAACAATGAATGCAGTAAAATAACCTAAATAGCAGTGTATATAAAAAAAAGGAGAAACAGTCACCATCAATGTTAATACAGGAAGATACAATGTTATTACTCAGCTATAAAACAAAATAAAATCGGGTTTTCAGGCGCCAGTCTGAAATCAAGTTTTGGATACAGTTTTTAAACATAGATTGAGTCTTTTTTTGAATAATATCACCAAAAATTTGATTATGATCATTTAAAGGGATCCTTAAGTGCTGAGATAAGTTCATTATTTAAGAGAATGTTTAAAAAAAGTATTTGTGCTAAATTTTTATTTATTTTTAACCAAAATAATAGGTGTATTCCAAGAAAAACTAATTTTGTACTTTGTATACCAAGAAAAACTAACTTTGTACTAATTTTGTACTTAACAAAGTTTGCCATTTTAGTCAGAATCTTAAGTTTTACAATTTTTTTGATAAATTCTACAGATTAAAGTTTATTCCAGAGCATTTTTAAAAGAGTTTTAGTATAAAAAAGAACCTCATTGCAAGATTTGTTTTTTTTTTTAAATATAGAAAAACTTTTTTTTACTTGCAAATCACTCCTATTTGTATTATCTTTCAACAAGTCTCAAAACATATTCGCAAAAAAATTAAAATTAAATAGCAGGGACTAATCCAGAGTTTATTTGGGGATATGGGTTGTTTTTTTGGCAACATATGAAGGGAGGGGGGGGGGTTGTTGAGATAGCCCCTTCTATTTTCTCCCCTAGTTTAAACTAGGATAGGAAAGAAAGGTTTTACATCTTGTATTCGAATAGTTATTGTCTATGTATAGTATAATACATTGTATATATAATATATTGTATAGACAATAACTATAAGCATTTAATAAACATATTTATTATTGTTTTAATTTTAATTTTGATTTTAATATCAGCAAATTTGTTCATTTAACTTTTACTAAAGAATAATAATTTTCAAAGTGCTTTAAGGTGCCTTTTAAATTTAAATGATAGTAAATATAATAGTAAATGATTAAAAAAATCTTTTTGATTGAATAAATATTATTTGTTTTTTTAAACATTAAGTATATTTATAAAAATTGTGTTTCATAAATTACATTTTCTATGGATTTTTTTAAACCTTGCTTAAAAATAACTAAATCTTAATATTTATGAAATTTAATATTTAATAATTTATTTTTATTAGCCTTTATTTAGTCCTAGTAACAAAAATCACGTATGTCATATTCATCGATGTTCGAATCATTTGATTCGGAATCTGATGTTGAACCACTTGTATCTAAATCAAAATGGTTCCTTGTTTCTTGTCTGATGACTTCAGGTTGTTTTAACAATTGTATAGCTTCTTGATGTAGAGATTTTGCCGGTCTCTGGGGCAATTTCCTGATGTTCGAGAGAAATGGATCTGATATTAATGAGAGCCTATTAAAAATGTCTCTCATATTCGATTCTCTTGAGCTTTTTCTTGAATGATGTATGCCAAATTTTTTTCCTATTTTTATTATAATAGCATAGGAAAAATAAATATTTTTTGGTGTTTTTTTTTGGGTGCTATACCACTGCAGTAGTACTTAACCAGGTACCGCTGTTTTTTCAAATTTATTAAATTGTAATATACCTATCAAGATTTATATGTTTAATATAATATAATTGTGATATATTATGCAATCCTAATTTTAGCTTTAATTTCCAGATCAATGAAATTTTAAGTTCTTGAACGCTATTTATAAGTGAGGACTTTGCTCAATGCTGAAATTATTTGAACTAATGCAAAGACAGTTAAACAATAGAAAATTTTTCAAGGAACTAGAAGAAAAAAGAGCTACAACTATCAGCTGTTTTTTTGTTCACTTTTACTTATTAAGTAGAGAATATTAAAACTCTGAGTAAAAAAAACATGTTTTTTTTTTTTAATTAAAATTTTTTAAACTGTTAAAGTTCTGGCTCTAATGATCTATAATCCAAATTAAGGACGTTTCTTTTAACTTCATTTAAAACAATTTGAAGCAAACCAACTTACCAAAATACATTGAAAAATTTTATGTTTTTTAACTATTATTTTTATTTATTTATAGTAATGTTTGTTTTTTGTTTTTTTTTAATTTTCATAGAATAAGTGCATATGTATTAGGGTGTCCCAAAAAAAAAAAAAAAAAAAAAAAAGCTCTCTACTGATTCCCATTCTATGTGACCTAAATAAGTACTAAAAAAAATTTGACGGTTTTATTTTGACAGGAAGTGCTAGATGTAAAATCTGAGTTTTACTGTTTTAATGTTAAGCTAGCTTAACATTAATAGAAAACACATTTTAGAAAATTAAAACAAAACAATTAGATGGGTATAAATCATTTCCAATTGTTTTCTACTATTTAACTTGATAAATTATATTTATAAATATGAAAATACAAAAAAAATACATGAAAACTAATATTTATTAGCAAATTTAAATTTTATTGCGGTGAAACATTTCTCAAAAAATACAACTTTTTGAACAGTTCCCAAGCTCCTTTTTAGTCATAGTCTTAGTCAAGTTTTTTCTAGACTTTTTAACTACAAAAAGTACATTTTGAAGGTGATCTTCATCTCTAGTAGCTGAAATAAAATCTTTAATGAGCTTAATGTTTCTTTCTGCATCATCATTTACAACAGATATGTTTTTGATCCATGCAATAAAATCTAGCAACTGAGGATGGTTAAAAACATCTATAGTATTAAGACTATTATTAAGCCATTCTTTTATACTTGCTCTTGATATTTTAAAATGTTTGAAGAGAAGGTAGCTTTGCTCGGAAATGGTCTCTCCAATTTGTACATTTGATGGTTTACAACGCTGAAATTAATTTGGCTCTTCAAACTCAACCAGAGCTAACAGCATTCTTAGCTTTGTTTCAGAAGGAACTTCTTTATCCCCAAAGGAAAAAACACAGAGTTGTGGAGTTAAGTACCACGTATGGCGTCCCATGCTGAGAAGCAAAGCATTTCCAATATTCTTACTAACTTTTCTCAATGCATAGGCTGTCTGGATAGCTTTCAAATCATTGTAGGGAGCCAGAAATCCTAAAAAACTTTTTAAAAACCATGGAACATAGCAAATTGCAATGAACAAACTTGCATCCTTCAACTGCAGCATTTCTTTTTCTGTCAAGATATTACTGATATCTTTAGTCATATAAAGAGTCAGGATGTAGATCGCATCTGCTAAAAACCTTGCCTCATGGCAGGCGCCAGGTTGATGGAACTTAAAATCTTGTACTTCCACTCCAAGGAAGAAGGAGGCAAGCTTACAAACTATACCATAATCATTCCTTGAAAACACTATATCAGTAGTTGCATTAGTCAAAAATGTCTTAGCTTCCTCTGCAACAGTGCGAAGAACAGAGCCAATCTTCAGATCATCTCTTTGCCAGTCCAATTTACATAAATTTAATAGCTGTACATTCATTGCTAGATTTATCCTCAGAATTGTACATTGTTGTACAGAATTGTACATGTTGTACAGAATTGTACAACATTCACTGCTAGATTTATCCTCAGAATTGTACCTAGGTATCATTTTATAATATTTTTCTACCTATTTATAATTATATACTTTTCAATAAAACAGCTTTAGCTTGTGAAAATTACAACTATGTTATTAAAATAATACTATACCTGCGTTTCCGACCGTTACCCAGGAAATCATCTTCCTCACTGATTTCAGAGTCCTCATTTGACTTTTCTTCTTCACTGCTGAATTGAATCTCTTCTGTCATGGAGTCATGTGACAACAAAACATTGATATCTTTTTAGTTTTTCTGTCTCTCTTATTCTTTCTCTCTCAACTTATCTAGCTTGTTCTTTCTCCTGTTTGCATCCAGTACTCTTCTACTGTAGTCTTCATCGACTTTTGTTAAACGTAAATATTTTAAAGGAAATAATATGCTATTACTTAAGTTACTTTTAATTGGAAAAAAAATCTCACTACTAAAAAAAGTGTTATTTAATGAACTTACTTTATATCTTCCAGCTTGGCATCATCTGTTCTCAATCTATCAGCAAGAATATCTTTTTTAAAATTCTTAGTCGAGATGTCATAAAGCTGATAGGATTCTGTGAGAAAATCTTTCTCTAACTTTGATTGCTTATCAAGACTGCTGTTCCAGTTAAGAGAAGACAATTTAATCAATTTCTTGTATTTTAAATTAAGTTTAATGATTTTGGTCTTTATATTGTACCCACAAATCACAAATTTCTTGCCAAACCCAGCATTATCCCAAATTTTTTTAATCCTAGATACCAAGCAAGAATTATAAGGATTTGTACAAACACCATTTTCACAAACAAGATCCTTGGATTTCGATTTCAATTTGCAACCAACATTAGTAGAAGTGGGTTTGTATTGAACTTGTGACTCGCGAAGGATAAATTGATAGTATTTAAGAATATCACCATTAGATGGAAGCTGTCTCTGAGGTAACTCCCTCAGTGGGTACTCAATAGGTAAATATACCTCAACCTTTCTGTATTTTTCCGTTTTTTTATATTCTGTCCTATCATCTTCTTTTTTTTAGCTGTTCTACCCATCTTTATATGAATTTCGAAATAATCAGTTTTTTAACTAAATTTTTACTAAATGTTACACTTGCATCAAAAATCTATGAAGTCGTTATTCCCTCTTGTATAATATTTTATCTAAGTTTACCGTTACAGCTTTTATAACCGTTTAAACGAGAATTTCTTCGTGCACAAATTAAAATTCCGTCGTGCACAAAAAATTCTAAATGGAGTTATTTGTGAACCAATCCATGGGGAATTATACTAACTAATAATATTGTCCAGAGGGAAAAATATCAATCGCTAACAATGTTCATAGGGAATGATCCTATTCTTTAATAATATCCTATGGGAATTATTTGTGTACTAATTATTACATCATATTAAAACATATTAAAATACTAGATAGCGCTGTTTTTTTGTAAATACACATATGTGTACAAAACCGTAAAACTCAGAATTTACATCTATCACTTTTAGTCATTAAAAAGTTAAAAAAAAGATTTTGGTAGCTATTTAGGACCTATAGAATGGGGATCAGTTGAGAGCACATTGAAATTTAAAAAGAAGTGTGTTTTTGGGACACCCTAATATGTATAAGTGTGTAAGTGCATAGAATAAGTGTACATAAATCAATTGATATAGCTGCAGTTGCACTGGAGTGTACATACCTTGACTGACCTAAATAAGGATAGGCACAGTAAAGTCATCATCGACTGAAGGATTAAGTTTTGATAGAAACATCTACTGAAGAATTAGGTTTTGGCAGGCATTCTTTTTAATGAAAATTAAGAATTTCAATATTAACATAAGTAGGGTTCATAAATTAATTAAAAAAAAAATTATTAAATAAAATTACACTAGATTTTTACGTGAAATGATCAAAATAATAACTAAATAAAATAAATAAACTAAAACTTATATTTAAATCTGTATACAAATAAGAAAAAAATTATACAAGTGAACAAATAATGCCTACCAAAATAATTGTAAAAAATTTCTAGATTTTTTATCAAAATTCTACAATGATGTCATATACTAAAACTTTTTAGAATTAAACACTCTTGAATAAATTATGAAGTCTATAGATTGCATCAAAAATAGCGCGTTATTTTTAAAGACTTCTGACCAAAATGGAAAATGTGAGCTTTTTGGCTAACTTGCGGTTCTGCAAACAAATGTTTGATCCCAATAGTTATGCATACTTGATAAACATGTGTGAACCATTTAAAAAAGAAAATATCAAGAAGAAATTTCTGGAGTAATTTTACAAGTCAACTTAATACATGAGGAAACAACATTGGTTACCTTCAAACCTTGATGTTTGTCTTATATCTGATCTTAGCTTTGTGAAGCAGCTGTTACAAGTAATTTTATGCCTTCTACTAGTTGCTTTCAAAACTTTTAAATTGACTTGTAATTTATTACAGCACTTTATATAGATGACTTGCAAATACATTCTTGTGACTTGCGTTTACATTCTTGTTTTCAAAAAAAACATGCATGTGCATACTTGTAAGAAGAGAAAACATTTTAAATAGAAAATTTTCTAGCAAAAACATTAAGATGTTTGTATGTTTTGTTAGGAAATTTATTCATTTGTTGATTTTTAACAAGAATTTAATTATTTCAACCAATTGTTGTGTCATTAGTTACTCAAAAAGATAAGAAAACTAATGTGGATTTAAAATTTATAAAGGTTTTTTAGGAATATCAGCTTTTAAAAGAAGACATAGAGACTGGATTAAAGCTAATCAATGGCGTAGAGAATGGATTAAAGCAATCCATAATATTTCATAACATTGAAGTTGCTCCAATTTCTAGTTGATCCAAAAAAGAGAAAAGTATGCTAAAGTATATAAACAAGGATCCTTATCAATATTATCATCTACGATATAGAGCTTGATAACTATACTGAGAAAATAAATTAGGACACCAAACCTAATAATAAGTCTACTATTTCTAAATATTTTAAACGCAATATTTATAAAGCACAATTTTTTACTTTTAATTAATACAGTACTGAACTCAATTGAAATATTGAACTTGAAAAGTATGCTTGATTTAAACAAAGTAAACATTTCATACCAACATCAGATGAACAAAAAAAATTTTTTTCAGACTTATCTTAAATGGTAATGTAGCTCTTTAAAAAACTTACTTCACTCGCGCTTGATGTTGTAGGACCATCTTTATTTTGTGCTTATAAAGTATAATATAATAAAATATTTCAACTTAAGCAAACTTGGTTTAGTTATAAACATATTAATATACATACCATTATATAAACATATTAATATTATACCATTAAATGTCTAATTGGTAAATAATAAAAGCCAGTTTAAGCAACTAGTTTTTTATCTCCTGACTGGAAATTTGAACCTATTGGGTATATTCTTGCTGACAGAGTGCTGATTTTTATTACTTACTGCTGTTAATTAACAACTATTGTTTTTTTATGTAAAATAATGATTGTATTTTTAGGTTATATATTTAATAATTTGCTGAATAAAGCCTTATATACCAGCTTCAGTTTTAATTTACTATTATTAATTTAATACACTGGGACTCGATATTGAAAATGCTATTAGGGCAACATTAAAAATCATAGCTTTTTTTTTTTCTAAAAGACTACTATTATCTGAACGCAAAATCTAGACATCTTTCTAATGTCTCTTTGCATAATGTTCATGAATAGATGAGTTTGATGTATAGAATGTTTCCTGTTAATTATATGAATGTGAAGATCACTCAATTTTTTAGATAATACCATGTTGAATATGAATGTCTTTGATCATTTTATTATGAGTGTAGTAAATTAATGTAAATGTATACAATCAGGGTAGCCAGCAAATTTTCATGTTCATTTTCCATCACTTTTCCCTAAAACTTTAACATACAAAGCAACAAAAAATTTCACATAGCCCTTTACTTTTACCCAAAAACATAAACTTGCTTTAAAAGTGTTTTCATTGACTTTAAAATAATGATGTTATTATGAAACTTTATTTTGATTGTCAATTCAAATAATAACTTATAGTTTGCAACTAAATCAATCAAAGTTCTATGAGTTTTGCATAATTTATTTAATTCCCTGACTTGAGCAGGATGTCCAAGTTGCTAGCCACCCTAGTTATTTAAAAATAATAAAAGTAAATTTATAGAAAAGCATTATATTATTATTTAAAAATCTAAATACATTTTAAAGGCGGGTATTAGTTTTAATTTGTCTATTGTCTGGTTGAAAAGTCTTTTCATCATCTTTTTATACTGTGCTGAACTTATTATGTTCCAACACAAGTATGAAGTTTTTAAAATTACCTAATTTTTTTAAAGTTTTATAATTTTTTTAAAACTAGGTCTTTATCATTTGCTGCTAACTTTCCTACCATTTTCTGTTGGTTTGTTACTACTTCTTGTTAAAATTGGCAATATTAGGTGTCTCTAACCACTGCATCTCGGATGCTAAATTACTACTTAAAAATATTCAATTATAATGTTGTTAGTTATGAAATTTCAAAAGATTTTTAAAAGCAATATTAATTGAAAAAGCATATAAGAATTATTGTTGTTGTTGTTTTATGAGATCAATCTGAATATAAAATTTGCAGAAAACATAAAATATATATATAAGTTTTAATATAAATCAAAGTTTATAAAAAATAAAAATAAAATTTTTTATATTGTAAAAATAAAGTTTATAAAAAACTTTTATTTTTACAATATAAAAAATTGTAACTAATTATTTATATAATTAGTTACATTTTTTGTGATATGGATTGGATAACTGTTTTTACTTGATATAATTGTTTGATTGTTATTTTCATTTCATAGATTATTATAGTATTTTTATTATTATTACCTGCTTAAATGATGATCCAACCTATCCTTGATATGATATCCTCATATCTAGTTTATCCTCATATCGTATGTAGTTAAAAAAAGTTATATAAAATTATGGATGTAGTTATTTATGCATACTGTATGTATATGCAGTTGGTTATTTATATGTATGTATTTTATTAATTTTTTTTTCATACATTCACTGACTTATATAGGAAAAAACATTCAGAGAGAGTACATACATCAACTGACTTAAATAGGTAGAACATGCAGGAAGTATACATATATTTGAGAAAGGGTTTGAATTAAGATTTGCTGACCTAACTTAAACCTTGAAGCATTGTTTGTACACTCCTTGCATGTTCTCGCTATTTAAGTCAATTGATTTATTTACACTCCCTGCATGCTTTCCTTAATTAAATCAGTCGATGTATTTAGAATAAATAAAAAAAATACATATCATATGTATTTTTTATACATACAGTAATTGTGTATACATATAGTAGGTATAAATAGTCACATCCTAAAATTATTTGATTTGAATTTTTGAGAATATCGTTAAAATTTATAGTTTCAATATTATTATAAAATTTCTAGTTTCTTTCTTAAATTATATAATTTTAAACAATATCAATGTTGTAAACTTAAAAAAAATTTAAAGATGAAATTGAATTTAATAAGAAAGATTATGCAACTATAAATCTTGTTAAAAAAAAATTGTTTTAGAAAATTTTTAAACAAAGTTTACATAAAGTTTATATGAAGTTTATAAATATATAAAGTTTTATAGAGATCTACTTTTTATAAGTTTTTTTTTTTTTTTTTTAATAATATTGAAAATAATTTAGATTGTTCGATTGGTGTATGCCTGTCTTGGAGCATTAATTTTTGGATTGGTATGAACTGTTTTTTTTTTTGTTTTGTTTTTTTTTGTTTCAAATTATAAATTTTTTAAATCAATTTTGATTTAAACACTAAGTTTTTTAAACATTTTAAACATTAAATTTTTAATAATATTTAATATTTTTTACATGTTTTAACTATAAATGATAATTTAAATGATAATTTTTTTGTTTTTAAATGATAATTTTTTTTTTAATTAAAAGTTAAATGAATAAAATTGATTGAAAAATTGAGTGTAAATTGATTTACCCACGGTGCTTGCCTCTAGTATTTGGTATATGACACTCAATTGATGATGGGCGGGGAGAAGAAGTACAGCATATCTCCAGAAGACTACATATTTGCAGCTCTGAACCTTTATCTTGATATTGTCATGTTATTTATTTACATTCTTGAGATAGTGGGTATAGCAGGGGGTAACAAATAATAGACGAAACAGAAGGAAACAAATAAAAGGCGAAACAGCTAGGCATGCAATAAAGGATAGTTATCTTAATGTGTTGCATAAGTGTTTGTTAACCTCTTGCATATAATAAAACCTGCTTGCATTAATTGATTCTTTTAGAGTTTTATTTTTTAAATGTAATAATAAAATATAAAAAAGAAATAAAGTTAAAATATATATGTTTATAAATAAAATAATTTGTTAAAATAATAAAGTACAATAATTTATATTTTTGCTGTTAATATTTTTTGGTTTGTTTTTGAATTGAAATAAAATTTACTCCTTAAAAAACAAAGGGTCTTAATCAAACTAAATTTAACGCTTCCTCCTAAAGTTATTTCTAAGCACAATGCAATAAAAGTTATAGATAGCCTTACAGTTAATGAAAGGAATTGAAGCTAGCAAGTGAAAATGACTACAGAAAGGAAACGAATGTACGGGTAAACGAAAGTTTTAGAAAATTTTATTTTAACGTTATTCTCGTTATTAATAAATTTTATTGTTAACGTTATTATTAATTGATAAAAGTTTAATATTAAAAGATTCGTTATTTAATATTTGTATATTAAACATTTTTTCGGCGTTAAAGCTAAATTCAGAGGAATAACTAATGTTAACATATAAGCTATTGTTGATAAGTAATAAAAAATTGCATCACTTCAAAAAAAGCGAATGTTCTTTATTAAAAGTTTTTATTTTTTATTTTCAGTACTTGGTGATGGATACACAATTAATGCTTGGAGGGCAAAAAAAATATTCGCTTAGTCCGGAAGAATACATTTTCGCTGCATTAAACTTATACATCGATATAATCACTTTATTTTTGTATATTCTACAAATTATTGGCCTCTCAAAAAATTAGTTTCTTTTGATTTGTTTATTGAGTTTTTTGTTAAAGTTTATTTGCTTATATATGGGGTTGTCCATTAATTACGTCAACAAAGTAGGCGGGAGGGTGTGAACTTTTTTGACAGTTTTTGACAAAGGGAAGGGGGGGAGGTCAATCAAAGTTGATGTCAACAATTTTTTTTTTTTTTTTTTGAGTTTCATTGCTTAAATAATGGAAAATTTGTAGAGTAGCTTCTCTGTACAGGGTGGGGTAATCTAAAATTGACGTAATTTTATAGGTCTTTGGAAATTTGACATTTTATTGACAAGGGGGATGGGGGAGGTGAAAATTTCAAAAAAACTTGTTGACGTAATTAATGGACAGTCCCTATGCTTTACATAGCTTTTTAAATGCGTTTTTTTTTTTATTATTGTTAATATTTTTCCCCTTTTTTTTAAGTTTAAAATGAGATATTTAAAATTTAATTTTAGATCTAACTGATTTTTTTATGTACTGATGTAAAACTATGTTTTTATTTTTTTATTGGGGATTTTAATTTCTAATAATAGTCAAAATATAGATTTTTTGTTTTTTTATATGTTCACTTTTAAAGTCCGTCCACCATCCATCACACCGTCATTATTACACTAAACAATTCAAAAAAAATTTAATTTTATATATATATGGCTTTCCCTCCATTTTTTCTATATATAAATATATATAAATATATAATTATCTATATTAATAATCTATATATAAATAAAAACAAGGTGCCCAGATGGTTGTGGCAACAGGTGATGATGACAAGCGATGGCTAGAAGCGATGGCTGGTAGTGTGACAGGTGGTAACGAAAGAAAAAGGTAAAGGAAATCACCGACACCTGTCACCATCACTTATTAAGTTACCTATCACACCTACTTTATATTTATAAAAAATATCAAAAATGAAAAGAAATATCAAATTCTTATTATTATCTTATCAGGTTATTACCAAATAGCGTTCTATCAAAGACATACGAACTGGATTATAAATTTTTTTATATTTTATTTTTTTCATCAAATTTAAATTCGATGCCTCGTTGCAAGTTATTTTTTTATCTCAATTTAGCTATATGTTAGTTGTGCCATTTAAGGTGATCTTATGTTAGTTGTGCCATTTAAGGTGATCTTATGGTATTTAAGGTGATCTTATGGTATTAAAGTCCTAAAAACTAGAAGAAAATATATATATATTCATTTTTATTAAAAATTTATCCTAGATTTCAAACCTGTGATTTTTTTTTTTTTTTTTTCATAACTAATATTTTAATAATATTTTTATTTTAGATAAAGATAATTTAGTAAAGCTCTTCATGGACTTATGAAAAATTCAATATTTTAATTAATTTTTTGAATAACTTCATTATTGCAGTTATTTGGCAGTTTTAACATTTCTTTTAATTTGAGCTTTACACGAATAGTATCCTTTGTAGTAGGCCTAACGTTTATAAAGAAATTGGCTCACACAATGCTTCGTAATAGATAATAAATTATTTTTAAAAGTTTTGTTTGATGTCGCTATTCATCGCATTATTCGAGCTTTGAATAGAAGAATAACTGGACTAAAAAAGTCGTTTATTAGACGGAAGTATAAACAGGTTCAACCAAAACTGAGTGCAACTCCAATTTTGCTAAATGACTCCACAAACACAAGTGAAGTTGTTATCAGTCTTTAAACGTCGTCTTCAAGGCAAAAAATATCAGGTAACACTCGTTTAGAGGATATTGCTTTTTCATAGCATTACTTTTTATACATTATATTAGACGTTATTTGTCTTATTGGCTCCTGTCAAACCTGTAGCAGCAAGGATAAAGTCTTGATTATTACCATGAAAAAGAAGAAAAGACTTTCAAACCTAACTTTCTCTTGTAGTTTGCGAATGGAGTTACTCAATCTACACTCGTAAAACTTTGCACAAACCCATTAGGGGACGTCCATAAAGTATGTACGCTTTTTTTTTCGCTACCTTCCCCCCCCCCTCCCCCGCAAGTTGCCATACGCTTTTTTGATTACTCTCTACCTCCCTAAAAGTATCTACGCGTTTAACCAACCCAACAATTTATGGTATTTTTTTTAATTTAGTGTCTCCATACTTTTATAATTGATCTACTGCCCCCTTATCTCAGAAACGCCATTTGTACACTCCCTTTCCTCTCCAAGCGTACGTACTTTATGGACAACCCCTTACCCCAGAAGCTAGTGCTTTTGATATTAACTCAAAGACTGTAATAGCATTTCGAAATAGGCAAAGGTCTGTCTGCAACTAATAGAGATTTTGGGTTCATTGAACATGGTTCATGAACATGAACATGGTTCCACCAATGAGCCCAGAACCTTTTATCACACAAGATGAAATTAGTAAAGTTTACGTATCTGTTGCTGAAGTGGCAATGAAAAAAGCAGCAGTTGAACTGAAGGAAATAACTGGGACATCAGGTGTAGTTGTATCAGATGATGTGTTCTGGCAGATGAGGGGTTTTTCATCGCTAAATAAGTTTGTATCGTTAGTTTCTGTTAAATCAAGTAAATGTATTGATTATCATTTTAAAAGTAAGCATTGTACTATGTGAGCTACTTGGGAGAATAAAAACTCCCACAAATACTATACCTAAATTTGGAATCATATTTGTGACATTAATCACGAAGGATCATCTGGTTCTGTGGAATCTAGTGTTTGATTTTTCTGAACAGTTCAAGGGCTCGTATATATTAATATATCAATATATTAAATATATTGGTGATGGATGTACAAATGCTCATCATGATGTTGTTGCAATTCCATATGTCCAAATAGGGTCCCGAAATAAAAAGTTATAATTTTAAAGATGTTTTTATTTCTTTTTGTTACCTTCTTACTGGAATTATAACATTATACACCTTTAAAGAATAGAAAAAAAATTTCACTCATAAATACCTAAAGACCACCTTAAAGGTGGTTTTCTAAGATATTATTTCAAAATATTTTTACATAATATAACTAAAAGTAAACCTGTCAGTGTAAAAAATAAACTATAGCAGTAAAATAAAAACTGAAAAAATTTAAAATTTTTTTCTGATATAAAATTCTAACTTTATAGTTAGATATTTAGTTATATAAAAATTTCGAAATGTTCTTTAGTTAAAAAAAGTTAAAAAATTTTAAAATATTTTTCCAATATAAAATTCTAACTCTTAAAGTTCTTTAACCAATTTCAAAATGACTAAAGTATAAAAAACACAAAAAACCGTCGTCATCACCAAGTTCATTAAATCTATGATTTACTAATACTCGTGGTCTTCGAAGTTTCTTTTCTTTTGTTGAATCTTATCACTTGCAAAGTTCACCAGATCTATTTACTTCTCTTTGTGAGACTAAATTGAGTTCGGCTGTCTCATCTTGTGATCTTAGTGCTGATGGTTACCTTCCTTTAGTTTGTAAAGACTCCAATTGTCACATGCTTGAACTGAACATCTAAATTAGTAAGAGTTCACCCATTTATTGGGAAACTAGGTTTGAGTCCACAGACTCTTTTTTTTTTAATGTACTTTCGTTTAAGATGAAAGAGAGCGATAGAGAACAAAGAGAAAGACAATAGAGTGAAGCACCACTTCACTCTATTCCCTTTCAACTTACGTTATCAAAGTTTTGTTTAGTTTTACTGAAAACTAAAAGGTAAATGAACAAACTTAAATAATCAGAGGTAAAAAAGTTTTTTGCAAACACAAAAGTCTAAAAAAATAAGGTATTATTCAGAGTAAATAATTATATACATTGATGCTAGTGATCATTGATGGTAGTGATCATTGATGACTACGAGGTTAGTTGCATTAAACTTCATGTGATGTGTTAAAACCACAAAATAACTGCAATTTTATACCCCGTTCACAGTAAATACTGTTTTAAAATTTTTATAATAAACCTTGCAGTTAGAACTTTTTGGGCAAAACTAACCCTCCCCTTTCCCCAAAACGTGGCGTAGTTTATGATCAACCTCACAGAGGAGATTATTTTTTTTTTAAGGCTTTCATTTATACCTTGGTTATTTTTTTTATTCAACTTAATTTCTCCGCGCAGCAGTCTTGCTTGTCAAGGTTCGTGTTTCGGAGTTAAAGAGTTGAGAGAGGGTTGTACCACGATTTACAAAAAAAAAAAAAAAAAAAAAAAAAAAAAAAAAAAGAGTAGCCTCCTCGACTGTAGTGACCCCCCTCGGGCCTTGGGGAGGTAAATAATTGAAAAAAAAAAAATTTTTTTGCAAAAAGTAGCTTTACATAGGATTGGTTTTACCATAATGGATAACGCAACATTTTGAAATGTTTATTTAAGTAACCAAGTACTTCGACAATTGAAAGAAATTTGATTGATTTGTTCTTAGGAAATACTTTTCATTTATATTTTTTTAGACTTATAAATAAAATTAGCTGGAGTTAGGTTATTTGTATTTGTTATCATGTATTTATACATGAGAATTAAATGTTGATAAATATTTTTTTCATAAACATTCATCATTTTTATGTCTCTCATTAAGAATTTAATTGTAGTCCTTATTAATTACCGCATAAACACAGTTTTTGTGGGTTTTTTAGCTATTTTTTTGAGTTGCCATAGCAACAGGCTACCATTTTATGTATTTTTTGGTATTTTTAATGTCAGTATAATATTTACTATATGACTAAAGAAAAAGTTACTTTATATGTGTTGTTTTGAAATTTGAGGGTAGTTGCCCCTTAAATTTTCTAACAAGATGCAGTGATCAACGGTGTCAAAAGCTAGATCAATAAATATACCTAAAGTAAATTTGTTTTCATTAAAATTATTTATTTGATCAACTTATTTAATAATCGCGTGTTCAGTTAAATGATTTTTCGGAAATCTAAATTGTTTTTAATGAAAAAAAAA